AAGGAGATCAGAACTAGAACCAGCATCTCTTGACTTCTAGCTTTGTTGTGTTTTTCTCTTTCCACAATCCAGAAGAAACCAATTATTCCTTTAAGGTACCATTTGAATCCAAATTATTATATATCTTCACATTTACTGAGCTCTTTGTACTTTTTTAAAAAAGAGTTTCATGTATATTCTTACTTTATATTCTTATAAAGATTCTTAGGTAAGGGCCTCCCCAGTGGCGCAGCGGTTGAGCGCTGGGTTGCGAAGCTGCCTGCAGCCTCTGCAGCGCTGGTTCGATCCCGGCTGCTCCCCGGCCCCCAGAGGAGGGTCCCACATGGCGTGCTCCCCGCTCTGGCTCTGGTGAATTCTCTCACCCTCCCGCGCTTCTGACTGTACCCAGTGCTTGTATAAATAAATAAAAATAAATCTTTAAAAAAAAAAAGATTCTTAGGTAAGACAAAATTGGGTCTGTTTTAGAGATGAGGAAATCAGAAGTCAATTAGGTTAACTGATAGTGGCTTAGGAGTACAGACAAAACTAAAATCTTTATGTCTTAACTTCTGGATTAAGTATATTAAATTTGGTTTTGGTAAGTGTTTATTGGTGCCTAGTATGTGTTAGTTCTGACATGGTCAAACATGCAAAAACAAATTAGACATCATTCATGCTCTCAATTGGTTATAATCTTCATGGAAAGACAGAGACAACTAAACTGTATTGCCTGGCTTATCCCTTGGTTTAGTAGAAGCTGAAAACCTTCCTTGATTGGCCCTAATGACCAAGTCCAGTTCTCTTCAGACTCGGTCCACAGCTCCTTATTCTAGGGAACCCAGGTATTGCCTCTCTAGGTAAGGTCATGTAGCGGAAAACTCCTTTATGGAATAGAAAAGAGATATGAAGGATAGAATTTCAGTGAGATTCATTTCATATTCTCTAAAGTCAAGGAATATTACTCCACAGAAGAGTAGATTTCAACCAAATGGATAAGAAAGGGTATTCCCAGAAGTAATTATTTCCTTTTCACAGCATTTTAATAACTGGAAATTTTACAATTTATGTTGTTGAAGATAACCACTGCATACCAAAGGGAAAACAGCACATAGCAAATGACATTTGTTTCTGTAACTCAGAGAAAGTCACACATGTAAATGCGCAAAGACAACTTTTTCATGAAGAATTCATCAAATGTCACAAAATGTTATCATTCAGATTTCTTATCATTAAAAAATTATGAGATTCAGGAACCCACATTTAATCTATGGACTGAGAAGAGTTGTCCAGGATTAGTTTACTATAGTTGTTTTCAAATTTTAACATGCATCAGAATCACCTGGATGGCTGGCCCCACACCCTGGGTTTCTGATTCAACAGGTCTTTGATGGTGCCCAAGAATTTACATTTCCTTTATTTAATTCAAGTGATACTGATGCTGTTGGTTCAGGCCCACACTTTTAGAATCACTGGTTTATCATAAAGTTTACAATATACTAGATACACACACACACCCCTCTGTTGGAAATGATAACAATTTAGTTAACTCTCCACTATTGATTTTGTAAAAGATACTCACCCCATCTATTTAATGATTAAGACTAAAGTGGGAAGAAGTTATGCCTAGTCACATAAGGGGATAATCTAAGAACACAAATGAAAGGATTTGTGAAATATATTTGGGTGTTTGGCAGAAGCAAGCAATGAGATATAATAACTGGGAAACAACATTTACCATTAAGAGCCTTTACCTATCTTGAAGTGGACGTGAATTTTGTTTTGTATACTCAAGAGAACACCCTTTGGATCTCTCTTTACTTTAAATGTTACCCAAGCTTCCATTCTCATTCTTCTTTTCTCACTACTTACCTTCCCTGAATTTTCTTAATTATCCCCATGGCATCACTTAATGTACTTATCAGTGGTTAGCAACTTTGTTCAGGTTAAGAAATTTCTTTGGGATTCTAATTGATATTATATACTCTTCATAAAATTAAACTCTCATCCACACACATTTTTCATTTAAGATATTTAGAGATTCTCATTCAAGCCCCCAGGGTAAGAACTCCCTATCAGTATGCAAATAATTCACAAATCTATATCTTCAGTCTAGGTTTTATCCTGAAAATTCATATCCAGATGTCTATTTAACATCTATATTTGGATGTCCCACAAATACTTCCAAAATTATAGGTACTAAGGAGTGGACTGCTTAATGGGGATAGGTTTTCCTTTTGGGGTGATGATAAAGTTCTGGAACTAGACAGTAGTGATGGTTGCACCATATTGTAAATACAGTTGATGTCAGTGAATTGTATACCTTAAAATAGTAAATCTTACATAATGTGTATTTTACCATACATTAAGAAACTGTATTTACAAAACTGTAATCATATCTATTCCCTACCTCTTAAATACCCAAATTCTCTTAGCATCATCCCCCCAGGCCTGACCACCCCCATAGGGCTGTTGACACATTGGATTTTTTTTTTTTTAACATTTATTTATTTATACAAGCACTGGGTACAGTCAGAAGCGCGGGAGGGTGAGAGAATTCACCAGAGCCAGAGCGGGGAGCAGAGCAGGCAGAAGGACAGAAGTACACTGCTGAGGGGAGCAGCGGTGGCAGGAGAGGTCTGCGCGCCATGTGAGACCCTCCTCCAGTGGCAGGGGAGAAGCCGGGGAGAAGCCGGGGATCGAACCAGCGCTGCAGAGGCTGTGGGCAACTTCGCAACCCAGTGTTCAACAGCTGCGCCACCGGGGAGGCCCAACACTTTGGATTTCTTCAAGATCAAATGCACCAGGGATCTCCCTACAGATACTTTGCTTGAATTCTCTCACCAAAAACATTTTGGTACAGGCTTTCCCCTGGATCTGAGCTACAAGGATGACCTCTGATCCTAATCAGAGCATTACAGAAGCCAAAGACCTATGCTTAGGTTTAAGCATATATTCAATCTCTTCAGATTTCAGTTTCTATTAAGAGTTCAAATAATTGGCTCAGAAAAAGACCCAAAGTTGTATGTCAGTTGTCACAAACTGACATAATGCAAAATCCCTGTGTATGGGGAAAAAAGTAATGATCTACAATAAATTAAGTTGCTTCTCAGTACCAACCACCAGTGGCTTTGTGGGAACATGAGCTCCAAGTTAACACATCTTCCATTAAAACAAAAACCAAAACTTTAAATCTGCATATTAAAAATGTGAAATGTTTCTAAAAAGTTAGCTATTAATTCAAATTTGCAAGCCCGTGGCAATCAAGGAGTCTGTTTCCTGCCCCATACCAGCGAGGAAATGCCACTTTCTGGTCAGAGTACAAGCTTTATAGCTTCTCAGAGAATCTGGATAGTACTAGGAAAGTGGACAAACTCCCCTAGTCAAGAGGAATATTTCTGGGGCTGGGGGGGTTGCCTCATGAGGCAAGTGGATAAACGTATGCCTTTTGGGGAGGAAACTGAGGAGAACAGAGATACCCATTGCTTGGTATCTGGACAAATACATCTCTGAAATGTCTGGGAAACCTGTATACTTCAGTATGGGCTGGGGGCAAGTATGAGGATTGACAGCCACTGGGAAGGCTACTGAGCTGTATAAATGTGAGGTAATAAACGGGTACAGTCTCTCTCCCACGTTTATTGGGAGAAGGCAATAACTCTCCTTGGGCGCCACCTTGGCGCCTCTTGCTCACCGTCACTGCGCAGCCATCTTCTCCAGCGACCTCCATCTTAACGCCCCTTTCTGCGCAGACGCAGGAGCACCAGGTTCCGGCCCCGCCCATGGCCCCGCCCCCTCCCTCAGGCGCCCCCCCCCCCCCCCCAGCTCCACACTTGGTTTCCGAAAAACCTGAAGCTGGGGCCCTGGCTTTGAACTGTGCCCTTGGCCTCTGGGAAATGGGGTTGAAATTCTCAGACCTTGCCTTTGGGTATATCACTAGACTCATGAGGGGAGAGAGAGATGTAAATTTAATCAGTGTAGAGTGCTATGAGAGGTGATCCAGCGTTGGTAAAAGTCCAAAAGGCCTCCAGATGTCAGCGCCCAAAAGGCTGTGGGGCATTGCAACAAGGAAGAACAGAGTATGCAGAAGCCCAGAGGGGCAGGAGTGTACGGTGTGTGTAAACTAGCATGTGCATGAGAGGAACTGCAAGAAAATGTTGGTGGAGGGTGCTTGTGCTGTCTTGCATGGTCTTGGAGTTTGTCTTAAGACTATGATAACCACTGACAGCTTTAACAAGAGACTAACCAGTGTGTGAAGAGAGCAGGGGTAGTACAGAGGCAGATTACCACAGCAATACAGATAAATTATTTGACATAATTTCATGTGTGGATTGGGAACTGAGGTGAGACAAGGGATGATAAGGTAAATTTGAGACAAAAAAACGATAGAGGCAATCAATTTGGGGGGTTGGGAAGAGAAGGTGGAAGTTTTAAAAATGACATGAAGAACTAGGAGGCCAGAGTTAGTTCTCTGCCCTGTGCCCCTACTCAGCCCATCCCACAAAGTGTTCAGATTTGCAATTAGTCTTCAGCTTCTCTGATTCCCCCTCCTTCGAGAGTAGTCATTTTACTCCAGCCTTCTTCCTTGAATTTTCTCAAAGGAAAGGCCAATGTGCACTCCAAGTCCTACTCTTCTTTCTGTCTTCTACATGGCAGTCTTTGCTCTCTAGTCCATAGACATCTCTCTCTCCAGCAGGCCCCCTGCCTTACCATAGCCCAAGTTGTCTTCATGATTCTAGACAAAGGGAAAAGATTGAACAGACTAGCACATGTCATCTCCAACTTTTCTGGACCTTTTTCAGGAAGCTGATGACCTAGATCCCATGATTCTGTTAATTGGATGGCGGTCTCAGATCAGGGCCAAGAAACTAGCCCACTGGCTCCTTTACTGCTCCAGAGCCACTTTAGGCTCTAAAGAAGGGGTGAGGGGGAGCACACCAAAGTGCCAGTGGTCCAAAATTTACCATTATATTGAATAGTCATTTGTACAGCTTTCCACACGTTAATTATTAGACTCCAAAGGCTGCTATAAGATAATTTATTACAGACTAGTCAAAAATTTCCTGCAATAATGGCACATACAATAATTAACAGAAAAGATGCTTAGTCTCTTGTTTGATGTCATAGCCAATACAACATAGCCAGTTGTGGACAATGAAGAGTCCTCTGGAGGTCCAGGAGGCGGCTACTGAGGATAGTGAAGGATCATGACACATCTTTGAGCAAGCGCCTAGGAAGTCTAAAAGACCCCCTGAAAAGATTTGTCTCTGACCTTCCAGGGAGTATTGAGGCCCCTCTCCATCCAGCCTATACAGAGGAATCATAGTCCAAGCTCCTTCTGTAGGGTTGAACTTCTATGAGGGGACAGCAGCTGGCCTAGATGAAGGGGAGTGAAGTCAAAGGCTAAATTCTTTCTGCAAGGGAGAGGACAGCCAGAAGGCAACGGCCATAAGTGAAAAGGACTCTTCCTATATTTGTCTCCACAATTTTTGGCTTTGTTCATAGCCTACTGAAGAAGAAAATACAGCCCTCTCTTGTAGACCTTCTACTAGTCTTCAGATGCATACACATAAGAACAGCCTCAAATGTCCTGAAGTATCACTCCCCTTCCTGCAGGAGTGAGGTAGGGGGACTCCGGGGGCAGGTGGTCCCTGGTGCTTAGTTAGGTTCTAAAGAATATTCTGCTCATGGCTCTGAAGCACCATGTGAACCTTGTCACAATCATGACAGATACAATCTGGGGGAAGAGATTTGCACAGCTCATTTCTGGAAGGTATCTTGTTCATTTCAAAGTCTTGTTCTCACTGAAGTCATACAAAACCAGTGACTTCTTCTCAAGGGAGAGTCTGACTTTGAATTTGTATGCTCCTGCCCTGGCCATATTCCAATCTGTAGGGCTCAGAAATACCCACAGACTGACTAACTACTTAGCTAGCCAGCCACAAACTCCAGACCCCCTAAACTTGTTCTTCTAATGATTGGTATGTCTGGGTCTAACTGGATAAGGTGTGGAATAGAGAAGTGCAGAGATGGTGTATGGTATGGAAGGGTGTCTACCAAGAATGGCTGACAGGCTCAAGAATTTCTATCCCTCCCTCTTCATAGGAAAATCTCCGTATGTGGTAAGTCCCACAGCCCTAGCAGCTAGCACCATGTACCTGCTGGTCAGGGATTCATGACCCTTCTGTGGAAAATCATATTCTCATCACCTGACATTTCCTTTATGTTGACCTCTTGACGATGAGTACCCTAAGCTGGCTACCTCATAATTTCTATTAGCCCTGATTTGTGGAACTGGCGCTATGTTGTTGGCACAGGAGTCAATGTGCTCAGCTCCCCTCCTCTGTGGAACGAGACTCCGATTTTAGCTTCACAAACTCTCGGGCCACTTCGTCGTTGCTCCTCTGAGACAAAATCCGGAGGACTGTCATGCCTGTCTCATCCATGTGGATCTTCCGGCCCAAGGGGCACCAGCAGGCACAGCTGCCCTTGGCTGCCACATCCCTCAGAGGCATCACAGCCAGCCCAAGAACACGATCCTCTCGGGCAAAGCAGTAATCCTTCACACATATTTGTAGCTCATAGGCCTCTGGTCCCTCTTCATTTCCCAAGAGGCTGTGAGCAAAGGGTGGAAGGTAAGAGGCCAGAGCTGAGGGAGTCTTCTACTGAATTCATCCCACTGCCCTCCTGCCCATTCCTCCTCTCCCCTTTCAAAATTATCCCCCAAACCTCTCCCACCCCAGAGTCTTGCAGGTACCCCATCCCATAACTTACAAGTGAAATGTCTCATTGTACTTGGGGGCCCAGTTGTTGCTTTTCGACTTGGTTGTGAATTTCCTCTTCTTATCACTTTGGTGTGGGCCAACCATGGTCACTTCCACAAAGGGCCTGAACATACCCGCTGTCTGCCACTTGAGGTCATTGGCAGCCACCACTGCCCAAACAAGGGAAATCTGTGAGGGATCCCACCAGGCATTCCCAGTTCTTGAGACCCAGGAGGCAATCCAGTTGGAGGAGGGCTGAATTGGAAGGCTGGGATCAGCAGCCCCAGGTAACTAGGTAAGAAAGTCTGAGACCATTAAGTACCTGCTACTCACCTTTCACTGTGACCTTGTGCTCCCCAGTACCAGGATGTGTAAACAAGTCCACTTGAATAGAGACTTCTCCCACAGGATCATCCACACCAGACCCTGAGGAACAGAAGGACAGATGATCCCCTATTAGACTCTAGGATTTCAGGTCTAATTATTCCAGGTAAAACTGAGGAGTTAGGAGGCACTACCCTACATCCTAAAGCAAGATGCAATCCGCCACAGGGAAGTAAGCAATGGGAGAAGGGAAAGGAAAGGGGATAAAGAATGAGGCTGTGTATTGAAATACAAGTTAGGTTGGTAACAGTTTAGGTAAAAACTTTCAAAAAGCCACCAGGAATTTCTTAGCTTCACCAAACCTCTCCTTTCTCCTAGGCTGAAGAATTTCTCATTGAAGGATGTTGGAGAAAGATAGCATTGCCATCCTGTCTCTTTATCTGAGAATTCTGTCTACCCCATAGTGTCTCAGTGAAACAACATGGGTGCCTTCTAGCCAAAAGCAGCACCCTCCCACCTATTCCCAGATTCCTGCAGGCCTCTCTGTTCAGGAAAACTTCATCCTACTCAAACCTAGACCTTTTCCCAATCCCACTTTCCAGAAAGGACCAGTGTGCAGGCTCTTCTCAGAAGAGGCCCAACTCTATTTTGAGAAAACACCAGTAGCCCTTACACCATATAAAACTCCTTTGTTCTAAGGTGTAGAGGTGGGAGGATTCTGAGGGCTGTTGTTAACCCCATTCTGAGCTGTGTGAATACATTGCCCAATTGCAATTTGGAATGGGGTTTCTGAACTTTGAGACCTGGCTCTCCCACTCCCAGCATAAGTAACTTATTTTAGTTCACAGTGTTAATTCATGTCAGAATCACATCTGCACAGCGTAAAACATACCCTTTTCCGGTCGAATGTCCTCATTAGCAGTAAACCTAATACCTTTCCCATCATGTACTGAATGAGGACAGGCAAGTCAAGAGGTAGTAGCAGCAGTAGGGCAGAGAAAGAAGAATGGGTTAGAGGTTTAAGGAGTTAACAGCCTTCTAGAATAGGTCTACATGTTCTCGAGGGAGCACAGAGATGAGGTAGGGTGAAGAAAGACGTCAAAGAGCTGGGCACTTCTGAATGCTCCAAATTAGACTTCATGGTTCAGAGTTCAAACCAATCATGGGCAGAAGTAGTAAAACATAGAGAAAAGTATCTGAGACCAGTAGGTCAGGGAAGAGAACGGTTGTAGTCTCTAATTTTCTAGGCCCTTAAATAATAAAGCAATGGGTAATGAATGCACACACATTCACTTAAATTCTCTCTGTAACCCTCACCTTTTCCCTCCCACCCTGGAATTGAAATAAAAACAGATGTGGAAAATGGCACAGGCCTGTAGCTTCCTTCTATCTTTCCACCTTCTATCAACTCCAGTCTAATTGCTTATATTCCCCTTCCCCTCCAGGTCGGCTCTGTGCTCCAGCTCCACAGCTCAGCAGGCCCTAAGCTTTCGTATTCCTCCACCAGGTTCACTCACCCAGGCAGCAGGCCCAGGTTTCCCTGAAAAGAGCAATAACAAATGTGCACAAATGTCCTTCTTGGGAGGACCCTCAATTTCAATTTGAGCCATGTTTATGCAGATATGTTGTTATGGATAGACCTAACAGGAGGTAGGAAGAGGTTCTGAGGGTCAGAAGTCATTGAGAGAAAACAAGCTGCCTGGGTTACCTGTGAATCAACATCACTGATGAGGTGGGAAGCTCAGCTATGCAGAGATACTTATGTTCTATGCCCTTCCTTCAAATGCTCCCATGGTTTGCCTCTCTTAGTCTTCTCCTTGTCCACACTGGAGATTCTAGAAGGTCTTTTGCTTTCTCTCTCCAGGACAACTTCTAACTAAGGCTCTCAAAGCTGAGACTTCATGAGTGTCCCAGTCACTTATTCTCAGGCTTCCTTTGCAGATTTTTCCTAATAGACAGGGCACAGTCTATGAGCTTAATAAACATATACTGTCCTGCAGATGTCTGGGAAAAGAAGTCTCAGGCACATTTCCCTATTAGTCTACTGTCTGGTAGTGGATGCAGATAAGCATTGAAGTACCTCAAGAAATCTTGGGTTTGATAGTCTCTCTGAAAAAATACCTTAGTCCTCCCTAAGGGCTAGAAGATACTGACTCCCTAAGGGATAGAGATGTACTAGGGAAAGGAGGTGGTGACCCAGAGCCCTTGACACTTACCCTGGGCAGTCTGTGAGCGCACAAAGGTCTTGATGAGTGTGTCTGTGGTCTGTGTGTACAGAGACAGAGCATAGCGTAGGGATTGCAGATCTGGGCTCTTCTCCAGAAAGGTTTTCTTCAGCCCATTGCCTCCTGCATGAAAGTATTGCTGAAAGACAAAAGAACACCTGCTATTGCCTCCTACCCTTACGGAGAAGCAGTTCTCCAGCACTGTCCTTAGAGAAACCACATGTGAGCAGAGGCTCTATGAAGATGCCTGAAGATTATGGTGAAGACAACTACTCAGTAAACACCATGATCAGGAATACCACACAGGGCTAGAGTCAGTCTTTCAGGTGAAGAGTATTATTTGTGTGTCTGGCAGGAATAGTAGGGGATGGTCACAGTCCTGGATGTGGTGTTTAAAGGATGGATCTATCTGGATAGGCAGATACGGGGTAGAAGAATTTCAGGAAGAGAATAGCCAGAAATGCTCTTTTAAGCATTTCTTATGACATCTCCCAAGTGCCCTGAATCACAGTTTATATGTACCTGCCTTATTACTATTTTACCAGAGTATAAGCACCTTGAGGTTAGAAACCATATCTGATTGTCTCTGTATCCTTCACAGCACACAGTGCACAGTGCCTATATTGCCTGGTAGATTGAATGAATGAATGAATGAATGAATGAATGGCAGAAAAAAGATCTTTTGAAAACCCAAATGACTTTATATATAAGTGGAAGAGGGAAACATTAGATAGATCTGGAGTATTAGAGTGTGAAAGAGTATTTCCTGGAAAATACTCAAGAACAGAAACAAGGAGCTAAGTGAGCTGAACTATTCTTAGAATTTGGGAATAAGCACACTAAGTTCATGGGGAGCCACCTGAGAGCATACATGTCGGGGCTATTTGGCTGCTCCAAGTAGGAATATGAACATAGCAGAAAAACAAATGTACATAAAAATCACTCTTTTGGATGTGGGATGGCAAGAGCCCAAGGGACTCTCAATCTGACAGAGTAGAATGCCAGGGTCAACAGGGTATGGTAGTAAGACTGGAAGAGGGGGAGGGCTCCACCTTGATGGTGTCCAGGGCGAGGTCTAGGACGGCACACTGCTTTGGAGTGAGACTCCGTGTTTCTTCTCGCACCATGTGGTCCTGGAACCCCAGAGAAAGCAACAGCATCAGGACAGTTCAAGAAAGTGATGAGTCTTCCCCACATCTACCAGCTGACATCAACGTATTCCTCTCTCTCCCCTCCTTTTCAGTCTCCAAAGTTCAGATTTCCTTCTTCCAGGTATCCCTCCTAGCCTTAGGAGGATCCCACACATCCAGAGTACCTTGAGTTTGGAAAGATGGCTCAGCTCCTTGGCAGCAGTGAAGATCAGCTGAGTGCCCTGGGCAGAGAGGGGATCAGTCAAAAGCAGAGGACCCAAACTTGATCAGAAAGCATGGAGGAAGCTATGGGTGACAGGGGGTTCTTACCGTTTGGTCAGTGAGTGGGGGCAGAACAATCATCCTCTCCATTGTGTTCATTACCACCCGCCAGAGCTCCTTTAGAACACGCTTCAGGACTGTCTTCTCACATACAGTGGCAAAGAGTGTGAGGCTGCAGACCCAAGTAACAGGTAAGGCTGGGGTAAGAGTTTAAGAGAACCTCCCTCCCTGAGAGGCTCCTCCATGTGACTGCCTCTGCCTTGCCCCACAGGACAGACCTCAGTGCTGTACTCACTTGCCATCCAGAAAGTCCATAAGAGGCCGGAGCACACTATCTGCATCCTGAGCCACTGAGGCCCTGGTACTGGGGGATGCATTTCCTGTGGCCCGCACCTGGCCCAGGATGTTAGCCATTTGTTGAACACACTCATCAATCCGCACCTGGAAACTACACAGAAGCCCATAGTGCAGCCCTTTCCTCCCCAAACACACACCGTCCCTGGAGCAGCACCAGCTATCTGGTACTATTCCAGGGTACTTGTGGTACAGCTCCAACAGGGAGGTAGCAGGAGGAGAGGGAAGATATACACACCCAACTGGATGGGTAGGTGGTGGGGAAGAAGTTTTGGCATTGGCCAGGGACCATATCTGGCCCAAGAATCATATTTGGGGGCCACTGACCTGTTTCCAAACACCATGCTGAGCTCATCCAGAACCGTATTCAGTTTCACCTGCAGCTCCTTCAAGCTGTCTGCAGCCTCAGGGTCCAACTGTAGCCATGGGAAGTTGGCTGGCTAAGCTGGTTCTCTTACCCTTTTCTCCCTCCTCTTCCCCCCACCCCCGCTTCCTCCCTATGATTTTTATACCAATTCCTTCTCAAATCTCTCAGCTCAAGCCAGCCCAGCCCCCAAGATAAATTCCTGTCCCATACCTAGACAGGAGAGGATGGAGCTCTGTAGCCAGGGAGCTCAGGAACAAAGAGAAAGTACAGCTACCCCACACCCTAAGACCTACCTCTTTGCCTCCCATGGCCTCGAACATTTTCTCCAGCTGGACCCTCAGTTGCTGCATGTTGTTCATCAGGATACAGGGCTTTGGGGACAGACAGAACTGCTAAGTCTTGGCTCCTTTCAGCAAAGGACCCATCAGCCTAGGGTCCCTACTCCAAAAGCTACAGGGAAGTTATAACACATATTACACGCATCTCTCCATACCCACTGAGATCTGGAACCAATTCAGACAATTCTCCTTGAATGATAACTAGAAGCAAATGTTTCTCTTTTTATTTTGGGGAGTGGGCCCCAAGTGTTCATGGCAATATCCTATATAACTCTGAATAAAAACAAAAACAAAGTCTAAGCAAAGGTCTAGCTCAGTAGAAGATAAAATACAAAATGGAGGCTTGAAGTAGATCCTAGTCAAGTTATTATTTTGTGGCATAATCTCAAGCAAAGCCCTGCTGGGAATCAGCAGTCAGGAGCATCATTCCCACCTTCAGCTCTGAAGGCAGTATCAAAAGCAAGAAGGAATAATATGTCTTCCTTTTTCTAAGGTTTCCAGGTCCTGACCCTTACCACTTTTTCCTTGGTGCAATAAGCCGGGAACTCCTTTGATAAGATGTCTGCATACTGTATCAGCACTTTCCCGATGGTCTGAGAAAAGAGGAGCAAAGGAGGGGTGCGAGAACTCTTAGCTCTCCCCATAGGGGTCTAGCCTGAAGTAACACCTCTCATCCCAGGACAACAACAAAAGGGAAATAAAGGTAAAGGAATCCTACAGTAAGCTCCCTCTCAATCCTAGGACAGCACTGGGACAAACCCACCTCTTTGCCCCAGGCACCAGCAAGGGAGAATGGGCTTCATCCTAAGGTCACCACAAAGTGGGGGTGCGCTCAGGCCTATAACTAGGCTGTGAATGTGGTGGTGGTAAGGGGAGGGAGTAGAAAGGCTCATGGTCACCTTAGTAAATCTCCTCATGTAGTGGGCAAGGATGTTGGGGTCTGGGCATTCCAGCTTCCGGATGATCTCAAAACTCTGGTTGAGCTGTGTGAAGACGTCCACCACAGAACAGGAGAAGAGCGCATGCTCTGATGTCTGCTGGAACTGAAAAAACCACACATAAGGTAATCATCTTCAGCCACTAACTTTTTCCAAGTTTGCAGGATTCAAAAGGGCTCTGCTCAACAGAGTGGCTCAGTGGTCCTTAAAAGTCCTTTTGATGGATTCCACAAAGCCCAGGAACTTTTGCCGATAGCTAAGTGCTGGGAGACTTAGCCTGACCCTGGGCAGCCCAAACTCCCAACTTACCCCATCCTTCTTATCTCGTTCCAGGGCTCCACGCAGGAATTCCAGGGACACATCCTCATTTTCATCCAACCATTGTAGGACAAACTGTTCAAACCACCTGCAACCAGGCAGAAGAAATGGGGGTTGGAGCTGGTGGCTGGCATATGCCAATGTGCTAGTTCCTCAAGACTGGGGTCTTCTGGAGGGTTAGTCATGGGTTAATATTATTCTTTTTTTATAGAAGTGCTCAGAAGGCAGTCTCAAAGCTGACTTGCCATAGTAAGTGAGGATGCCGACCCTGTCCACCCCCTAAGTCAGAGGTCCCTCTGCACCCACACCGTACATGAGGTACTCACGCTGGGTACTCAGGCACCTGGGCCTGGAGGGCAGGCAGATCCCGCACATATTCATTGTGCAGCCACTTCACCTTGAAGTGCAGGTTCATGTAGTCAGCACTCTTACACAGACGGTCTTTCTCGTGCTCTATTGGTGAGAAGGGAGGCTGGGTCAGGCCCTACAGTAGAGGTCACGGGTTACCGAGCTCTCCCAACATGGCAAGCCTAGTCAGGCAGTTCTATCTGAGGTTTTAGAACAATGGTGACTCTCAACCACCTGCTGATAGCCCTCTTTCCCTCTACCAGTGCTCTCCTCTCCAAGACTCTGGCCCAAATCTTCCTTTAGAGGCTAATTCATAATTTCAGGGAAGATCTATAGTCTTCTTGCTCTAGTTTTAGTAAGTGCCACGCAGCCTCTGGTGAAGAAGAGGAGAAAGGAATGATGAGGGCTAGTGCTGATTATTGGGGACACAACCCAGGACTGGAGAAGGATGCTGGTTCTCCAGGGCTTTCTAATTCTGTAACAGCAGCTGGGTCACTTCCTCAGAAGGAGTTAAATGCAAAGATGAACAGCTGTACAGGACACAAATGATAGAAAGGGCAGTTGAGCAGGCACAGTATAACACTGAAAGGCCCCAGAGTAGAGTTAACACATTGAAAAAATTAACTCTCAAAGAAATATGCAAGTAAGAATAATCGGTTTGGAAACCATGGATACACAGGCAGACGAAAGGGCTGTCACACTGCAGAAAATGTGGGGTGTTTATTATGCACGTGAAAGGTCAATCTAGCTGAATCTCCAGAGTCTTCTGAAAGATGTAGGACAAAGATCATTCACAGCTTGCCCAGCATGTCTGGAGCACCGATCATGCCTATAGGTTCTTCATCCACCCCTTTTATAGATGAAGCACTAATTTGAATAATAAAAGTCAACTGTGTGCTTATTGGCAAGTACTAAGCAACAGAGAAGAGGAATGCCAGAGTATTTGGGCATTATACTGATTAACTTCCAGTTGCTGTGGTGATGTTCTTCCATGTCAAAGCAGAACATCTAGACCAGGGTAGCTAGTTTTTTTTTTTTTTTTTTTGTGGGACCCTCGCTGGTGGCCAGGGAACGAAGCGGTGCTGCAGAGGCTGCGGGCAGCCTCGCAGCCCAGCGCTCAACCGCTGCGCCACCAGGGGAGGCCCGGTAGCAGTGCAGCAGACATTCAAGGAGGAAATGTGAGCCCAGAATTCAGCCCTAAATGGCTCTTGGCCCCAGGTATTTCATCTCTGGCACTGGAGGCAGCGCCATCTCAATATGAAGTTGCATTTGCAATCTCTTCTATGAAGCAGTGAACAAGAGAAGAGGGAAAAGGTGTAAGACTTCAGACGTGTAATGGTAAAAAAGCAACAACCAAAAGTACTTACCGCCTAGAAAGAGGACATTTTATATACGAATTACAGTGGATGCTTGTAACAAAGCAGATACCAATGAGCAATAGCGAAAAAAAAATTAGGGACATCAGAGATACCCTCTCAGAGTTTACCCTCTCTCTACCCCACACTCTGTTGTCCTTGAACCAGTGCAAGAACCTAGAAATGCAAAAAGTACCACCAGGCAGGCGCTCCCTCCTTCCTTTCCGGCAACCCACTAGAAGTGGGGCAGTGCTGCCCCATCATTCATCAACTCTTGGACTGCTTTCTTCTAGGGACCTTCCAGTTACTGCATTTACATATAATTCTCACTCCTTCAATCCATTAACTGTCCTCTGGAATCCCAAGCCTCAGTTTTGTATTTTTTTTTAAAGATTTATTTATTTATTTATACATACAAGTATTGGGAACAGTCAGAAGCGCAGGAGGGTGAGAGAATTCACCAGAGCCAGAGCAGGGAACAGAGCAGGCAGAAGGACCGAAGTACATTGCTGAGGGGAGCAGCGGGCGGCAGGAGAGGTCTGCACGCCATGTAGGACCCTCCTCCAGTGGGCAGGGAGCAGCCGGGGAATGAAATGGCGCTGCAGAGGCTGAGTGCAGCTTCGCAATCCAGCACTCAACCGCTGCACCACAGGTAAGGCCCCCAAGGCTCAGTTTTGACATTACCTTCTTTAGTACAAAACAAACAGAATGGGTGCTGAAACACTGGAAACACTTTAAATTATCCTAACAAGTCCTTTGGAGTCATGCTCCAGTAAAGTTGCTTGAGACTGCTGTTATTGTGTTTGGGGGGGTTGGATGTGGTTAACCTGTCAAAAGGGGCAATCAAGTATCCAAACTTTCTCCTATCCCTGACTTCCCTCCACCTTTCATCCTTGGAGAGTTCTTTCAACCTCATAGTTTCAACTATCCAGCTTGTCAACATTGCCCCTCCTTCTCTCTTTGGTCCTGATAATGTCTATATAGGGTTTTGATGGAACATCCCACTCTGGGTTTACCTCTAGTCCCCATCTATTGTCATCTTAACATCTCCAGCTAAGCTGAACAGAATATACAAATTAATGGTTCAATGTTGAGCATCATCCATTCTCTTTATCACATCAAATTTAATCACCAAGCTCTGTTGATTTTACCTCTAAAATTCCTCTGGAACTTATCCATTTATTTCAAGTCACAATTTTACCTGCCAAGGTCTTGTGACCATCATCTCTAACCTAGATTGCTATAGTAGTGTCCATGCTGACCACCCTTCCCCAACTCATTCTTTAAGTTGTAGCCAGAGTGACTTTTCTACCTTATAAATATGATCATGTCAATCCCTTCACTGGCTGCCAATGCCTAAACATGTCTTACAGTCTCTTTTATGATTTATCTCTGCCCTCCTGCTCTGTCATCATCTCACACTTGCGTTTTTCCTTATTCTCTAAAGTGCTAGTCACACTCAACTACTGCTTGTAGTTCCCTGCATGCCAGCTCTATCCAGACCACAGGTTTGTGAACATGCTGTATCCTGTTCCTGAAATATTCCGCGTTTCCCTTTCCTGTCCCTCCCCACTGGCTAAGTCCTATCATCCTTCAGCCTTCATTTGTACATCACCTCCTCAGGCGGCCTTCCCAGGTCCTCTGAGTTTGGGATACATGGTCTCAACACCCCATGCTTATTCCTTTTGTGGCACTCATAAATGTCAATTGTAATTACAGATTTATATGTCTGTTTTCTAACTGGTCTGTGAGCTTCTCTAGGGTGGGGGCTATGCCTCATTAATCTCATCAGAGTTCAACAACTAGCACAGAACAAATAAAATATCCAATAAACAATGAACAGGGGGACTTATTGCAAAGGGGTATGAAGAAACTTTCTTTATTTTAATTGGGATAGTAGTTATAAAGATGTGTTTGTCAAAACTCATGAAATTATACTCTTAAAGTGTTTTATTTAATTACATGTAAATTATAACTCAATAAAACTGACTTATTTTCAGAGTCAACACTATACTTTTATCATCCAGGTCTCCAAATTCCTCCCCTTCTTTTGCCCTCCACATTCTGACAATCATTAAGTCCTATTGCAACTTCCTTCCAATATCTGTCAAAGCCCACTCTTCCCTCTGTTCCTCTCTCTAATCCCAGTTCCATCTCTGTATCCCTAAATTATTATATTATCTGCACTCCTTTGCTTTTGTCTTTCCCAGTTCTGGCTGAACCCATTTTCCACTGTTAAAAAAAAAATCTTATTAAGCACTACTTTGTTCATATTATATCTCTCCGCTCATGAGCCTATAATGGTTTCTTATTGTTCCTAATAACTAAGATTTATTCAGTGCTGAGTAAATGCCCAGCAGTATACTAAATATATTACATACACAATAGTTACTTCATCAACTCAATGAAACAGACACTATCATCATTCCCATGTTATAGATGAAAAAATGGAGGAACAAAAATTAAATAGCTTGGTTCAAGGTCACAATACAGAGTGAAATTGAGATTTGAAACCAGGCCAACTTTAGTGCTTTCTCTTTAGGCATCTTTCAATTCTTTTGTGTTTGTTTAAACATTAGAATTATTTCAAAAGAACTCCACATAGGATTGCTAAAAGCAGAGCTGACTTAACTGGCACTAGGTAAAAGACCTGGAGCCTAGTTACCTGCTTTCCCTTTTCACTTAGCTCCTGAGATATCTGTATTTGAAAACCTCTGCCCATTCTCACGATATCCCTCTTGTGGAACTGATTCACTTTCCATAGGTATTGATTTTTTTCCCCCAAAATCACAGGAGCTGGGGCTCTTTGAGAACTGGGACTATATGCCCATCAGGCTTGCCAAGTGCCGGCTAGGAGAAGACAAACAACCTCTGCACTGGTGTGACAGGCTAAGATATGGACAATAGGCTTGGTTTTGACCTGGTGTGAGCAGGAGGCAGTCAGTGCTCTGAGACAGAATTACAGGGTGTGTGTGTGCATGTGTGTGTGCGCACGTGTGTGCACATGCACACAAGCTTGTGTCTGTCTCAAACTTAACAGGGATCTCAAGGTTTCTTTTGATCTCAAAACTAACTGCTCCCAAACTTTGAGTTTAAAAGTGTAAAAATTACCCATTCCCCCTGCCACTCTATCCAAACAATAGCCCCAGACTCTTCTTTGTCCTTGCCCCAGACTGTGATCCCTGTTTCCAGTTCTACTTTCACAGACTGAGGAGATAAACTAACATATATATAAGCAAACAGGAAAGGCAGCTAAATACATGAGCACAGTTGGGTACAAATGGGAAGGTCTGAGAGTGATAATTTTGTGGACTAAACTAAAATGAATGAAAGAATAGCTGAGTGTACAAAATGAGTAACTCTTTGCCTATGATCTTGCTCTACAGGAGAAGTGAGGGAAGAAACAGGAGAAGTGAGGGAAGAAATATCTTTCTGGATTTATCGTGCTAATCCAGAACAGTTTTCAAGGAAATCCAGGCCAGGCAGGCCCCAGTGTGAAAAAATAATTTTATCTGTGTACTTAAGGTTTTATGGTTCTTCAAAACTTTAAGGATAAGTTTCACAAGAGCCTTCTCCAGTGAGTGGGCCACTTGTGAACACCAGCATGGGTGGAGTTGATTTCTGGGAAAGTGAACAGGCACTTGCTCTAAAGCTGGGAAGATGAACCCACAACCACACAGCCATTTCCATTATTCTTTTGGCTGAAGCTTTGCCCACCCACGACCTCCTGAGGCTGATCAGCCATTATGCCTAGGTTTCCTCAAGTTTCTTACTGTATCTTTCACCCAGAACTTATAGTTATCTGGGAAAAGAAAGGGATAACAAGGTGCTTGGGCCAGGGGTCTGCAATCCACTGCCTTGGGTACACCCTTACCCTCCAGTGCATATTTCATGTCTTGGGCAAAGAGCTGCCACATCACTTCTGCGCTGATTTTTCCCACATTCAACTCCTGAGGAAACCTGGATGATGGAAGAAGTCACAGTCAGAGAACAAGGGAAGAACCATTTATCTGATTGATTCCAAAGCTAATGTACCTAGTTTTTAGAGGTCAAAGAGTGGAGTAACCTAGGAAATAGATTAGGCTCAAGCTGGAGAAAAGGGGCCCAGAGTTTAGTGTTAGAAAACTGGGGGCAGAAAATAGCCTTAGGCAAGGTGGGTCCAAGGGAGAGGATGTCCAGAAGGCACTGAATTAAAACCCAGAGAGGAAGGGTAGATGCTGGAAGGCAGATCCAGATGAAATAGGTTGGAGGATAAAGGGCAAGGAGGTGGACATAGGAATACCCATATTATTCATAGTGGACAGACATACACCTGGTCTCTGGATTCCCTGAGACTCCTATGGCAGCCATTCCCAGAGGCTTCTTACTCCAGGGATACTGGCTCAGTCTGGGCAGGGCCCCCCATTATGTTTCCACACCTGTCTCCAGAAACAGTTACCCAGACAGATACAAGGGACAGAGGGACAGATGGACGGACAGGAGGAAGAGGTGGCACTGCAAACACATAGACAGGAAAGAAAGAGGCTGTTAGACAGATGGACGAACCAAGCACCAATAAGACAGGGCCAAGCGGGGTGATACTCACTGGTTCAGAACGAGTGTGTAGGAATTTTTATCTTCCTCTATGATTGACACAATAAGTGTGATAAGCTTGGGCCAGAAATCTAGATTCTGTATGCTAGGCCCTTGCTCCTCTGGAGGTAGCTCCTGCTTCTTGTTCCATGGAAGAGAGGGACAGACAGTGAGAGTCAGAGTAGAATGTGAACAATGTCTCCAAGCTTCCACTTTCCCTTCCTTCCCCATTCCTCTTTCTCTAGAACCAGGGACCCTTCTTTGCTTAGAGCTCATCTTCAACAAAACTGCACCTGTTATATCAGAGGGCTGACTACCGGGAGGTCCTTGAACACAAAGACCACTGTGCTTTTCTCAGACCTGCTCCAGAACAAATATTCAGTATTTATTTGTTGGACTGAGGAGAATCTATTCTGCAAATGAGTGGACAGAAAGACACTCCTAAGATAGGAACTGTAAGAGTAATTAGAAGAGGAAGTTCTGGCTTTGATATTAGAACAATGAACAATTCTATTGGAAAGATCTATTGGAAAGAAACACATGCGAAGTTACCAGGTATTGAGTTAGGGTGCCAGCCTAAAACAGGCAAAGTATCACTGAAAGACAGGGTCAGCCTTAATAGTCAGCTGACGAATATATCTCAGAAACCATGCAGTGCAGAGAGAAGTGATCAGGAAGAAAAGCTAAGAAAGACAGACACACATCTCGGAGAAGGGCATCCTAGAACACAGAGAGGTCTATGTGACTCAAGGAGAAAAAAAAAAAAGACTCCAGGATAGACTGAGACTTCATCTACTCATCCCCTGAAACTGTATTCATATTTAGGTCACTCTCTTTAGCATCAAAGTAAAACTTACTACTGACACTTCAGTCCAACTGAGTTATGTCATATCTTGTCCTCGATCTGTTCATCCACAAATGTCTCATGTGGTCTAGATACCCCATACTTTACATCTCTCACTCTCAACAACATAATGTCTTTGCCTAAGCTCCTTTCCAACATAACCACAGCAAAGGAAGCTGACACTCCAGGAACCACTGACAGCTGGCCCGCTTGATCCGGAACCGCTTACCAGCTGATACTGGCGGTTGTACAAGTCATGGCAGTTGTTGAAGATATACTCGTATGTAGAGTTCAAACAGGCTTTCACACAATCCTTGACAACTTGGCTGGCTCTTGGAGGACTCTGCAGTTCTTGAACCTGCCAATTAATAAAAGAAATACAGGCCATGGGTCTGGCCCTAGGATGAACCGCCCAGGGGAGAGTCCCTAGCTCATTCCTACTGATCCATGGTCTACATGCTCTCTCAGGGACTCGGGGTATAAAAATGTAGGCTTAGTGGGAATGCAAACTGGTCCAACCACTATGGAGAGCTGTGTGGAGATTTCTGGACCTACTAAACATAGAGCTTCCATATGATCCAGCAATTCCACTCCTAGGTATTTACCCAAAGGACACAGAAACATCAATTCCAAAGAACACCTGCACCCCTATGTTTATAGCAGCACTATTTACAATAGCTAAGCTTTGGAAACAGCCCAAATGCCCAAAAATAGATGACTGGATCAAGAAGATGTGGTACATATATACCATGGAATATTACTCAGCATTCAAAAAAGATAAACACATGTAATTTGCAGCAACATGGATGGCGCTGGAAGGGATCATGCTCAGCGAAATAAGCCAAAAAGAAAAAGAAAAATACCAGATGGTCTCACTCATAGCAGGAATCTAGAAAACTTAAATAAGGGATCAGGAAAATGAATAACTATAAGAAAGTGAAAATCAAAATCAACAAAAAACTATGAACCAGAGACACTTTTTGGGGGGTGGGGGCCGGGAGGGGAGGGATTGGGGTCAGAATGGGGCATGTGCAGTTGTATGGGGGAATATAAAAATAAAATTTATTATTTAAAAAAAATAAAATAAAATAAAATGAGGACAATATCAGTGTAAAAAAAAATCATTACAATAAATAGATATGTTAGTATATGCATGGAATAAAGTAAACCTGAAAAATGCCAAAAAAAAAAAAAATGTAGGCTTAGAGGTGATAAGTCCTACAGCCTTAGATTGTGGCCAGTGATTCTTATTTTCCCTTTTGCCAGCCTACCATCACCCAGTCCAGCTCATCTCTTACCTTCATTCTGAAGAAAGTAATGCTGGTCAGCAAATCCACTGTGGACTTTAAGTCCTGGAGCCTGTCAGGGCTCCCCGCAGGAAAATTATTCTGTTGCAAATCAAGCAAATGTAAGAAAGGGACATAGGACTGTGAAAGTCTTCCCTGCCAAAAGCAATGAAATTAAGCTTCCCTAACTGCTACCAGAAGGATTTTCCCGAGTTGAGTTAAATGAATAACAGCTATAGGATTGTAGGTCTCTCTCTTTCTCACTGACAGACAGGTTCTTATCCAAAGCAGAGTTAATAATTCACAGCACAGAAAGCAACACATCCCATCCCCAACCCTACTTCCCATGCAAAGTATGAGCAATTGCCCAAATACACACACACATGCATGCAAGCACATATTTTTCTTGGGTGAAGAGTCTTACACCCAAATAGTAAGTTCTTCAAAAATTACAGTCTAACTGTATATCCTGGAATATAAGTGGAGCCACACTACAGAGCAGACTGAGATTCCTGACTTTCTGTACAGTGGACCCCAGCTATTCTGTTCTGGAGCCAGCAGATGGCAGAACTCTGAGCACAATTGCTTTTGCAGTGTTTCAGGACTTTTTGCCATGCATCACTTCATTTCCTTTGGCATAAGTTTTAAGAGGAACCTGCCAAGGAGAGCTAAAGTGAGATGTTGAGTCACTCTCCATTTTAAGGGTCACCATTTTAAACCTACAAATGTCTACTTATATGCCAAATAAGATATACAGTCAATTCTCCATTATTTGGGCAAATAGACGCCACTGAAAATGCAGATAACTGAAATCTCTCTCTTTTTTTTTAACTTTGAGGCTGTTTTTATACTTACTTTTTAATGTAGGTAATAGACCTGTTCTGGAAATTCACAACACTTTAAATCATGTAATGAAGCCATTCTAAGATGCTCATAGGAATAACTGAGAAACTGCCGATTTCCCTGTCCTGACCCCTCCTCCATAAATTACTTGCCCAACACAAGCTACTCTACTTCCTCTTATCTGGACTCTAATACCTCCCCTGGAAAATGAGGGAAGTATGGAGAAATGCAAGAAACAAATGTAATTATCTGGTTTTAAAGGAGCATTTCTGGAAAAGATCATCCTCAGAAGAATTCCTGATGAGAGTGTTACCAGTGAGTTTGGTAGAGTAATGTGAGTAGAGTTGGAAAGCCAATTGTCTATAAAAAGTAGCCACACCTGCTGCTACTTATATACTTCACAGTTTTCTGTGTTGGCAAACCACAGGTATCAGTGACTTAGCCATATGTGTGGATATGATGACAAAGACCAGTTTTTCTTGCTTTTGATCTTTATGGCAAAGACTGTCCTACAGTCACTCTATACTGAGCTTGATATTATCTCTAACCCCACCCCACAGGCATGTGTTCACTCACCCTGTATGTAGAGAGGTCGATTCTCAGTGAGTTGTGCAGCTGGTCCAGTAGTTTTACAAACCTTTCTTTCTAAGGGTGGGAAACAAGTAACAGATGAAATAAATATTGTCTCCAGGCCCCTAGACTGTAGTAGAAACAGAACCATGTCTGGGTGAGGGGTGGCCCTGTTCCCTCTCTTAGCACCTCTGTCTCAAGATGGGGAATCTTCTCCCACTGGCAAAAGGAAAGTCCCTGGGAGGGAAAACAGCTTATCTATAGAAGAGTAAACAGGAGGTAACCAGTGTACCCCCATCCCTTTGAGAATCCTAATGCATTTAGTCAGACAGAAGAAAACTCCAAACACATTCTCTAATTGTTTCTGAATCTGCAGTCTTTTGACTTATTTGGGGAGCTTACAGCATAGCCCTGATGATAGACAGAAGAAGAAATGCATTTAGAAGGTGGTCAGGCAGATATTGCGGTGGGGTGGGGAGCTAGGAAAGAATAGGAATCCACATCATTTCCCTTAGTCTGTATGTTTTTAATGCTAAAATAAATAACAGGTATCATTTTAAAAGTTATTTTTAATAGAAAAGATATAATTAAAAGTGGAATCATGCCTGCAGGCTGTTTTGCTACATTTATAATTCAAATTAATAACTATCTTGGATAACAAACATACAAAGTGCCTGAAAAACAGACTCTGGTATACACCAGTATCCTCCTTTAGGCAGCAGTCTAATATGAACTTAAGTGGTATGAATCTGTCAGAGAGAAACTGAATAATAAGAAAAGGTCTATCTGTGGACTTTCAAGACTGAGAAACATGGTAATTCAATCAAGTTGCTGGCTTAGAGAGGTTCTGCCTAAGTTCAGCTGGCACAACTCTCCCTCAACCCCAAACCATAGTAGGTGTGCTATTCCACCTTCTCTCATTTATCTATGTCTGAGGAGAGTCTACTGGGACAGACTATAAATCCAAAAGGAAATAAGCAGAGTTTATTAGAAGAATCTATTAATACATACTCACAAGGAAAGATAATTCATCTGTCAAGTTGGCAGCTACCAGAATGTAGGTATATCAACCAACTCTGTAGTACTGACTGTGAAAAATCAAACTTTATTTATTTATTTATTTATTTTAATAGAGGCATGTTTTTTATTTATTTATTTGTTTGTTTGTTTGTTTTTGTTTATACATGCACTGGGTACAGTCAGAAGCGCGGGAGGGTGAGAGAATTCACCAGAGCCAGAGCAGGGAGCAGAGCAGGCAGAAGGACCGAAGTACACTGCTGAGGGGAGCAGCGGGCGGCAGGAGAGGTCTGCGCGCCATGTGGGACCCTCCTCCAGTGGCCGGGGAGCAGCCGGGGATCGAACCAGCGCTGCAGAGGCCACGGGCAGCTTCGCAACCCAGCGCTCAACCGCTGCGCCAAAAGGGAGGCCCCCAAACTTTATTAATTGGTAATAAATGGGTACATAGGTTTTCACATCATACTCACCCCAAAGTTGGAGGCTGCAAAGCGATCAGATGCAGAGACATTCGTGGAGGCTGTTGTGTGGGCATAATAGGCATTGATGTTGGCCAGTAAGGTGCTCATAACTGCTGGTACACCAGGACACATGTACTTGGATGACAAACATGCAAAGTGCCTGAAAAACAGCACACTCGCTTTCAAAAACTCTTCAGAGCTTGCTCCAAAAGCCAAGTAACCAAATTATCTCACTGTTGTGTATGAAACTTCCAATCACCTTGGCAAACAAAGATCTTCATAATTCATTCATTCAAATATATATTCAGTGAACACCTATCATGTGCCAGGCCCTGTGCTAAGTGCTAGAATCCAAAGACGTGAAAACCTGGCAGAAAAAGCAAGTGTCGGAAGATAAGTCAATAATCCAAAGGGATGCTATGCAAAAACACTGGAAGTCTACAGGAAGATCATCTAAATCAGAATGGCTGGGGACTAGATGGGAGTAGAAAAAGAATCCCCAAAGAAGAGATGGTTGAACCAAGTTTTAGAGCACTAGCCAGAATGAATAGGATGGAGAAGTGTGTAGGTGAAAGGAAACTGCATTGCAGTGACAAATATATTCATGAGAGAATGACTCATTTGGGACACCTTAGTTATGACTATTGTTCAGGTGACTATACAGAACTAACAAGAAATGAGAAAGGAAAAGTAGGCAGAGAACAGACAAGAGTTTATCCTAAATGCTCCAGTAAAATTTTAAATAAAGGAGCAGATTGATCAAATTAGTTTTTCAGAAAGGTCACTTTGACAACCAGTTGAAAAAGAAAACTTAAAGGGATAAGACTAAGTCAGAAAGACCAACTGAAGAGTTAATGCAATCATCCAGAAAATAAGCAATGAAGCATTAAATGGGACAGGGGATTATCAATAGTTAGGCGCACAGACTCTAGAGCCAGACTGTAGGTTTGAATCTCAGTTCCATCTTTCACTCAGTACATAAATTATTTGCATAAATTACCTCGACTTCTCTATGCCTCCATTTTCTTATATGTGAAATGGGAAAAACAACGATGCCCATCTCATAAGGTTTGGAGGAGGATTAATGAGTTAACATTCATGAAGTACTTAGACCAGTGCATGGCACATAAGGAAATTCTACATAGGAGTTGCAGTTGTTGCTTTTGTTGTTGTTTTTATTGAGCTATAGCAGCTATGGCAGATTGAAAACAGCTAAGAGATTTTAGAGGTTTCAGAGATTATTTGGATGTTGAGGTTTTAGAGATTTTAAAGGTTTTAGGGATTATTTGGAGGACCAGGAAAAAGAATAACTATAAGAAAGAAAATATCAAAATCAACAAATAACTATGAACAAGAGACACTCTATGGGGGGTGGGGGGCGTGGAAAGGAGGGCTTGGGGTCAAAATAAGGGGGTTGTAATTGTATGGGGAATATAAAAATAAAATTTAAATTAAAAAAAATAAAATGTGGAAAAAAAAAGAAGCAGTAGTAAGAAAGAAAGAAAAGTTTAGGTTGACTTCTACATTTGTTTAGGCAACTGAGTAGAAACTCTTTCCATTTACTAAAGTAGGGAATAAAGGACAAAAAGCAGATTTGATGGAAATGATACTGATGGGATTTTTGCCATGCTGAGTTTGCAATATGTGTGGTTAATACCCAGGGAGCAGACTAAAATGGATCTGAGGGCCTCCCTGGTGGTGCAAGGGGTTAAGATGCAACCTGTGAAGTTGTCTGCAGCCTGTGCAGCATGAGTTCAATCCGAGCCTGCCAGAGAGCAACCCACATGGTGCAGCAGACCTCTCCTGACTCACCCGCTGCTCCCCTCAGCAGTATACTTCCGTCGATCTGCCTATTCTGTTTCTCACTCTGTCTCTGGTGAATCCTGTCACCCCCTGCACCTCTGGTCTATACCCAGTTCTTGCATGCATAAATAAATAAGTCATTTTTTAAAAAAATAGATCTGAAATTCAGAAAAAGGTCTGATCTATAGAGAGAGACTTGGACCAGAAGTAGCGGTCGAGGTCTTAAGTTTGGATGAGCTCATCGCAGGGAAGTGAACAGAGTAAGAAAGCAAACCTCTTTCCTTACCATGTGTCTTCCCTCCATCTACATTGAACTTCTTGCGATTCCTTGAAAACTTCATGGTCTATTTCATCTATGGCTTAAAAAATACTCTTCCTCCTTTTCTGTATTTCAAGACTCAATTCAAATGTGCACTCGCTCTCATACCTCCCGTAAAGTTTAGAAGCTCTCATAATATTCTGTGATTACGATTACCATAGTACTTATCACATGCTATTGGAACTGTCCGTTTACTGATACGTCTATTCTGCTAGCCTCAGTTCTCCAAGAACAGAGACTTCCATCTTATTCATCTTTTGTGTTCTCAGCAATATATGACATAAAGACTCAATTAAAAGTTTACAGAATAATGAAGTATAGCCAGGGCAATAGCTACCCTCTGCATACCTAGGACTGCTTCCTATACACAGCTCTAACAGCAGCCTCATCAATAGATAAGCTACACCTCTTCTTACTGTAGGCAAGAATATCTGTTTCGAAAGTCTTGGTCAACTACAGACATAGCTGCTTTCCTCATTTAGTGTCTACTCTGACTGTCAGGCAAATCTATGAAAGCTTTCCTGTCACACACACACACACACACACACACACACTCACACACACATACACACTCACATGTCCTGCCTGCCCAGACCTGTGATGCTTGGGCACGTTGGTCTTTGCATATTCTCCCATGCATTTTCCCCTCCCATCTCTCAACTCTGAACTGATAAACACACTCCCTTCCTATTTGTTTAGGGGCATAGACCAAACCCACCTCACAAAGCTCAGAGAAGAAAGCAATCAATCACTGCATACTACCCCAACTAAGAACCCGTCCACCCTGTCAGTGTGCCTTCATTAACCACTCCCAAAGCCCCAGGGGAGCCTCACGTCATGGCCTGATATATGGATTCGATGCCATAGCGCATAGCAAATTCATCCACAATTTCTTGGGCCGTCTCATCAAAGTACACCTTCCATGCATCATCTCCTCGAGCCTCAGGGATCAGGACTCCTCCACTGCCCTGAATGTCTGTGAGGTAATGGAAAAGGTTCTGCCAGAGACAGGACAAAGGCAACAATTAAATATATATTAAAAGCAAAACCAAAATGTGATCATAAATTCCAGGAGACTGTGATTAGGGTTTCGTAGCAAATCTGCCCTGGAAGACATTACTCAGTTTCTCCTGGTGCCCCAGTAGGCTGTGCGCATATCAGTGAAGAGACAGAGGCTGTCCGTACTTGGGCTGTCCAGGGTAGTACAATGAGCCATGAACAAAACAGAAAAACAGGACCTGGCTCAGCCATTTAGCAACCTAACTCATTACAAAGGACCAGCCCTCCCATCTACCAAAGGTTGGCTCACCTCATGGAGACACGTATACTGCACGTGATATGGGGCTACTTTCTCTTCCCCCTTGATTTCCACACTGATTTGTAGTCGTATCGCCCCTGAGACAGCTGATTTGTCTGTCCTCTTTTCTAGGAAAAAAAGAAATCTGGAGATTGACACCAATGCAAGAATAGATAGCTGTAGACAGTCCCCATTTGGCTTAACCTGAGGAGAAGGAAGTGCTGACCCAAGAGTGAAGTCATTCCAGTTACCATGTAGTCCACAAACACCCCAGGACTGGCTAGGGAGGACAACAGGAGTATCTGAGGGAGTACACCTAAACACATTAGCTTTCAGAAACCTGGAGAGGGTCCAGTGAAAGTGAATTTCAGTCACCTTCACTCATTTGTCCCCTATTGCTACCTATGGTTGGTTCTCTGCAGGTAAAGCAGGCTCTGTGTAGAAGTATGCTTTGGCACTGAGTACAGTTTTCTCCAGGTTCCTCATTTCATCTCTCCCTTCCCAGCAACTTTCTCTGGTCCAGTTTCCTCACCCAAATTGTACCAAACGTCCATCTCGCCGCTTAGTGTCCGAACCTCGATGATGGTTTGACCAAGGAAATCATCGGACTCTCGTTTTAGCCGCTGCTTTACTCTCGATTTGATGTCATCATCCTCATCCCATACACGTACCTTAATGCGGTCAGAAGAGTTGTGGCATTCGCTATGAGAGAATGAGACAGGTTCTATTAGGGATAGGCCCAGAAGCCCTGATTCCTGTCACTTTCAATTTCCCCCCAAAGTCCCATCAACTGCACTAGAGGCCCTGCAGAGGAAGAGAAGGAGTCAGAGAACAGTGGTGCTAAAGTTCCAAAGTGAGTCAGACTATCTCCATTCCTTAGCCTGGGCGGCTCCAGTTGTAATCTATTTATTCTTTTCTTCCCTGAGAGGAATGAGAGTAATTAGGGACAATTCTGATTTTCTATGTAACAAGCGATTATCAGCAACACCAACAGGAAAACAGTTTGGACAGATGCCACAGAGTCCTAGTATACAATTGCTAAGTCTCCTCTTCAGAGTCTTATGAAGTCAGTAAACGTGCTAATGTTCATGGCATGTCTGTCAGGTGCTATCTGCTTAGCTTTCTACCTAACCTCACATCTACATAAGGGTGTGCTTAGTGAACTTCTATCATTTTAAAATCCCATTTGTCATTTCCTCTATGGTGTTTGCTTTGGAGACGGGTGCTTGCCCATGTACCCACAGCACGAGGGCATGTTCTCCTTACCCAGCAATTGCTTCTGGGGTTCTAGTGCCTCACCTAAATTTGTACTCAGCAAACTGTGCTGCTCCTTTCCTTAATGTTCTCAAAATATCTTTGCACATCCCATTAAAATAATTTAGTGGAGCCTCCCTGGTGGCGCAGGCAGTTGAGCGCCGCGCTGTGAAGCTGTCCACAGCCTCTGCAGTATGGGTTCAATCCCGGCCGACCGGCGAGAATCTCCTATCTCGCCCGCTGCTCCCCTCAGCAGTGTATTTCATCAGTCTGCCTGTTCTGTTTCCTGCTCTGTCTCTGGTGAATCCTCTCACCCTCCTGTGCATCTGGCCTATATCCCAATTCTTGTATAAATAAATAAATCTTAAATAAATAAATAAATAAAATAATTTAGTGTTACTATTGGTCTACTGAAAAATAATAGACAAATCAACAGTGACTTTCTTAAAGTCAGGGATTATCTTTTACATTTCAAGATATACAATATTATGTATTATATAGACACAATATAAAAGCTTAATAAACTGTTCACTAAATGGGTAAAAGTGGGAAAAACTGGCACACAGGGCTAATTATTTAGAACTAATCAAAAGAAGACTTCAGGGAGGGGGGAGAAAAAAGAATGAAGGGGGTTCAGTGAACTACAGTGGAGAACTAGGGGTATCCTGGTGGTGGGTTAGAAACATACATCTAAAGGTGTGTGATCCTATACCTCTGAATCATATATAGTATTGTAAACTGATGTTACCGCAATTTAAAAAAAAAAAAAAAACCTGTAAAGAATAAAAGAAAAAAGTTCTCAAATTCTCAGACAAACAGCTGTTCTCCCCAGCAACTCTTGCCTCTGGTTGGAGACTGTTTTACTATGCCCCAATCCCCTTCCACATGAGTTGTGCAAGGAGCCAACAGAAGGTCTCAAGATAGCCAGCTGCTTAGCTAGCCCTAGATCTTAGGTTTGACAAAGTATCTGAATTCTCTAGGCTCTAAATTCCCTAAGTTCTAGGCTAGCATTTGCTTTTTTTTCAACAACCATTCATTCCTTCCTATAAAATAGTCTGTAAGAGAGACAACAGAAAAGGGAGGCAGGTGGAGACTGAGTCAGAGCCCTGAAGAGAAATGGAAATAACTTCAGACCCAAGATTTCTATATTCAAGCCAGAATTATCCAGTTGCAGGACAGAGACATCCCTTCCCCACTTCCTAGAAGAACCTAACCCTTTCTAGGCATGATGTCAGGGCTGAGAGGTAGACAATAGAATAGTCAGGTTCTGGTTCTTCATTGGGCAGTAGTAAAATCTTTTCAACAATTAAAAAAAAAGTTTTTTTTTTTAAATTTATATATATTTTACATCATTTGTTAAGACATGGTTTGGGTAAAGTAACCCATTTACAAAGTCCATGAAAAGAAATGGCTGCTGCCTAATTAAAGCATTTGAGAAATAAGTTTTTCCACTGCCTTAGACCCTTCCCTCTTACTGTCCTAGCCCACAATAAGAAGATTTAATGCTGCACCCAAAATACACATATTTCCAAGACAAAGCCTTCTATAACTTACAAATGGAATTTCTCCTCCCAGATAGGATTCAGGTTCCCAAAGATGGTCTTGGTACGCTTCTTGGTTTTACCCACTTGCACAGTCACATAAGGATCACTGGATCCTGTCTTGTCCTTTGCTTGGAGGCCTTGAGCACACATCACTGCAACCCAAACATACACAGAAGATGACTTCGGAGTATATTCCAGAAATCAGAAGTCCTCCATAACACATTGTTTTTCATCTTAGAGCAGTCTCTTTTTGTACCAGAACTTTAACCTTCTCATGTCTCCACATCTATCTTTAGTCCTGAGCTATCAGCCTTTCCCTCAAAACCTACTTCAAGAATTCCACCTCCTCACTGGTGCCAGAATTGACCACTTACTCCTACACTGGTCCTTATTCCCTCTGATATATGCACATTTCTACCACATCCACCAGATAGAAAACCACTGGTTAACTATTCCTTGACCTCCTGCCTCCCCCTTTCCATCACCACCGGCTCTTGTAACATCAGAATGTTAACCATATCTATATTTTCAGATTGTTACCAAATCCCGTATTAGCATACTTATTGTTTGCAGGCACCAGACTTGGTCTCCCAGTAACCCCCTGCATCTGGGTCTAGGAGAGGGGGGGTGATGAACAATGAGGGCCTCCCTCTTGCCCTCAGTCCTATCTTCCTTCTTCCCAGCCCCCTGCTCCCTTGTGCTCAGGTGGTTTCTTCCCCTTGCGTCTCACCCTAGCCTAAGCCTTCCTGGCCCCTTCAACTTTGACCTGCTTACCAGTGATGGTAATCTTGGCAGACCATTTAGAGGTACCATCCAGCACACTCTGTTTCACTGTTTTCATCTGCTGCACATGGGCAACTTTGCTCACAGTGAAGACATCCCGGATAACTTCAAAGATCTCTGGCTTATTCCTCTCTCGGATCTTCATGCGGTCCTTCATGGCCATGATTATGTTCTGGGTCCGATCCTCAGCTCCATGCTTAGAGCTCTTTTCTGCAGCCCCTGAAGGATGGTCAGAGACAAAAACCAGGGTTGACCAATGGGCTACCTACCAACACCAAGGGTCAGGCTGAGGATTGGAGTCTGGGAGAGGTGACTGAACTGTGTGAGAGAAGCTTAAGAAGATTGTGATATCTCTGGTAAAAGTTAATCACTGTAAGGCCTGCTGGAGTTAAATGTTTAGCCAGTAGAGTTAAAAATACAACTCAGGGGCTCCCTGGTGGCCCAGTGGGTTGAGCGCAGCGCTGTGAAGATGTCCACAGGCTCTGCAGCACAGGTTCGATCCCGGCCAGCCAGCGAGAATCTCACATGGCACAGCAGATCTCTCCTGTCTCTCCCACTGCTCCCCTCAGCAGTGTATTTCAGTCGGTCTACCTGTTCTGTTCCCTACTCTGTCTCTGGTGAATCCTCTTGCCCCCTGCACCTCTGGCCTGTACCCCAGCTCTTGTATAAAAATAAATAAATCTTTAAAAAAAAAATACAACTCAGATGGTAGCAAAAACTCAGTAATTGGTATGGATGTTTATTATACTATTATCTTTACTTAGATAGATATTGAAATTTTCATCAAAAAAACCCCCCAAAAATGTAGCTCAGTCTACAGTTTTCTGGCTTTGTCTTTCTTCCATGCAGACAGTGCTCAGAGCTACTCACCAAGTCTAAGGTGAAAATATCACCAATAGGCATATCTCAGTTATCAAGCAAGACTGGTGTGTGGGCATGACAACTCCACCAATCTTACCCAACTGCCAACCCATGATACAGATCCCAGATTTCATCATGGCACATAGTTGGGCTCTACCCAACAGCTTCAGTGCCTTTAATATCAGGAAATAATGTGTGTGTTATATGACAAGAAAAGTATGGCCTTTGGTATAAACAGACCTGGGTTCAAATCCTGACTCTATCACTCTTAGCTGAGTAAATGGGTTTCTTCTAGGAATAGAAAATGGCACTTATCAGACCAGTTAAAAAAAATTATAAATTAAAAACAAAATTAACAGGCAACTATTAATCAGAGACACTCTGCTGGGGAGGGGGGAGGGAAAGGGATCAAAACAGGGGAGGGAATGTGTTCTTACACAAGGGACTATGGTGATGGTGCATGGGTGAATTGGTGATGGGAATTTTGCGGGACTACATCTGAAAGGAGAAAGCATGCATTGTATGAAAAGGAAGAATGATAAAATAAAATACATACTAAATTTAAAAAAAGAAAATGGCACTTACCTCTTAAGATTGTAATAAGCATTATCTTTGATATTATGTATAGCCCAATGTCTGGCACCTAGCTGACACTCAATAAACGGTCCCTGTTATTGTTACCACCTTCATTATTATCTTGGCAGGGTCAAGGGCCATGTTCACAAGCCATGGTCCCTGCCAGCTCACCTTAGAAGCTAACAGGCTTTCTCTGCTGCCCTAAGGCTCCTACCCCTCTAGTATATTTTATCAACCAGGCTTCTCAAAGCTGGGGTCCTTTATTGGCGCTGCAGACTGGTTCCTTCCTCTCTTTAGTTTTCAAAGGTTTAAGTCTTTATGACAAAACATGGAGCAAAAATAAAGGCCAACATCTGCATTCCAACCTTAGGAAAATTGGAAGCAGGTTTTCTGTCCAAGGATACCCAAAGAAAGGCAATTCATCGCACTCCATACATCACAGAAGACACAAGCAGAAGGCATTTTCTGATAATGAAAAATGACCCAGGCTGCAGCCTACTTCTGTTTAGCATATCCCATGCAATGCTCCTTCCTTGGTCTGGGGCCCCCAGAAGGTCCTGGAGGGAAAGATGGACACTCTAGACACAGAGCAGCATTTCAGGTTTTCAGCAGTTTATGCAGTCAGCTGGGTTGCTAGTTCTCAGCAATTAAGCTAAGGGCCTGCAGGCACCTACCCTTGTCATCCCCTCATGATGGGCTTGGGTAAAGTCATTACCATCACTTGTCTGCAGACAATCTTTTCAGAGCCCCATGTCTTCTGCTAACTGTTCTACCTGTCTCTTCATGTGTGCCATAATCATGCCACTCACACCAATGTAGGGCTCATTCAAGAAGGATATTTAAAATAAACAATTCCTCAAGGCCTCTCCCTGGTTCCCTTTAATGTCACATATTGTTCCTTGGGATAATGAAGTGCTTGTGGGTATACAAGAAACCTTCCTTTCTCCCATCACAATCCTGTAGATGGCCTGGCCTTGAGTAGCACAGGCAGTACTACAGGAGGAGAAAATACTCTTTCACATCCCTCACCACTGCTTTTCCTGAGGTCCAGCTACACAGGCACAAGTCCAGCAGAAAGGGAGCAGAGATAAGAACACCTAACATTAACATCTTTGACAGAAACCTCTTGCTTTTCTTTCTTCTATTCTCCCTTCTGTGGTAGCAGCACAGGTCATATATTTAGCAAGGCCCTGGAAGTCTGGCACACTCTCCTCCTGAACTGTTGCTTGATTCATGTGAAACTTCGATCCTTGGCACTATTACCTAAAAACTCCATCTATAAGCAATGATTAAATGTGCCTTACCTGGATCCTGGGGTCCAGACCTCAAAAGGTTGCTCTGTGAGGCCTGGAACTTCACAGAACTCTTTTTCACTAGTTTTTGTCCCTGATTAAATATGCTGTAGTAAGTGCAGCCTCTGGGATCACTGAATCTTAGAAGAGATTCTACCTGAACAGAGGGCAGAATTTTTCCTAAGGGTGCTTGAAAGAGTGCTTTAAGACCTATTATTTGGAAGGGCAATGGTCCTTGACTCAGTGCCCTACTTTCTCCAAGAAACAAAGAACTTCAGAATCAGTCAGACTACAGTCCAATCATGCTAGCTCTCTTCAGTCAGACTAATTTGGAGAGGCCTGATGCTCCTGCTTCCCACCCCATCCCACAGGACCACTTACGCTGTAAGCAGTCGGCATTGAGCAGGTCCTGGCACTTCTCATGACACTTGACTCCACATTCGCTGCAGCGCATGCCCTGCCGGGCAATGCCCCAGAGAAGGCCTTCACACTCATAGCAGTAGGTTGGGGTGGTGGCTGTCCAAACCTCAAAGTTGTGGGGTGTGGTGCACGAGATGGGGTAGATTAAGGCCTGAAGGGTTTTCTTATACACATGGGATTTCTGAAAGACACGTAATCCCCCCATCATCCACCAGTGACTTTAGGATTCTGCTGGGACTGACAGAAGCAGGACTCTGGTTTTTCTTCTGAAAGTGGAGAAGATGCTCTAGCCTGGCCCAGCCCAACCTCCAGCATGGCAGAAGGAGGTTCCCAATGTATTGTGTTCCTGGTCATCCATGATGTCTGACCTGAACACCGTGTCTGAGCTTTGTCCCAGCATTCAGGCTTTCTCATGGCACTAAAGTCCACCATAAAATGCTGAATGCAGTAGCCACTTACTCCAGCATGAAACTCAGCCTTACCCCTGGTCTGGACCCTTGCATTTCCCAATGTGAAAATCTGACACCAGATGTTATGTTTTGTTAATGATGCCTAACATTCTTGAATTCCAATTTAGTATGACTATAGAGATGACTGCCAAGCCCAGGTCAGTGGATTCATGAAGCCCCTTGGTTCACTTACCAACTCTTCATCCTTGAGAGAGGTACGTGTAGCCATTGCAGAAGTAATTCCTGCTTTCCGGGACTGGACCAGTGACTGTGAGAGAAGACCTGGTGTCAACCTTGGCTACCACCACAGGCTGGCAAAATGCTGGGGAGGGAGTTTCAGTGACCAAGCTTCTTTACTATAACTTACTACCTTCTCTCTATTTTTACTGTCACTGACAAAGATTACCCATGGGTAGTTCCAGGTTAAGTGTCCCTGGTTAAGATCCAAAACCCAAGGCCCTCAAGGAAATTGCTCTGACAATGTAAGAATAACACTTATCTCACGGTACCTATAATCCAAAGAGTTCTCTTTAATACACAATTTTTAGGTATCCTATCCCACAGAAATTCCTTCTTTATTGGAAGGCAAAGGAAAATAAAAAGATTAGAATTATAGTAGGAAACAGGTCATTAACAACATAGACACACAACCTTACCAGTCACATTCAAGAACCATCTCTGAAAACATGAGTCCATGCTATCATCTTACTCCTTATACCACCCCATGTCCACACAATCCCAGGTGGCTATAGATGTTAACAGATCAAATGAGCAGGGAGTGTGGCAAATGAAAGGATCAATAAAGTCATAGTCAAATCAAGCAGGGCAGGGGGTTAGAAGTCTGAGAGCTGGGACATCCCTGCTAGCCAGACTCTTAGGTAGAGGACCCCTGCATATTTTACTTAAAGCTCAAGTTCTGGAGCAACCTCTGGGGAGGCATATGATTTCTCTAAGGCAGTGGACAGACAGAAGTCATAATATCAGCTAAGCAGGAGGAAGAGCTGGGAGGCGCCCAGGTGGTTTGGGATGTAGACTCTGAAAGGATGGAAAGAAGGCTCTGGAGACACTCACCATTGCCTGCACAGAGGAAGCAGAGAAAGGAACAAAAAAATGTTAAAGCCCCTACAAGGGCATGAAAATGTTCAGAGACAAAGGTTCTAATCCCCAGAGTCAAAAGTAGGGAACACACCCCAACCCTTCCAGCCCCAGGTTTCTACCCATGCTACTGAATGCTATCTTTAACCCAGACAGCCAGCTAGGGCCCAAGGTCTAGATCTCCTATTCTAAGGAGTGATGCCAGAAAATGAAATATAGGCAAGGTTTAAAAACTTTGGAAAGCAATTAATAAATTAATAAAATATTATCCAATTAGCTAAGCAAAGAAAAGATGGTGAACAAGGAGGGAGCAGAAGATGAGAAAAAGTAGGAAAAAAATGAAGGGAAAAGAGCAGAGGGAAGATGATAAAAGAAAGTCGTGAAGGAAAACAGATGGCATCCAACCAACACAATGAGGAGCTGGTAGGAGAAGAGGTGCATTAGAAAGGGTAGAAAGAAAAAAGAGAAGATAAACAAAGAGCAGGAAAGGAAGAAATGACCAAGAGGAAAAAGGCAAAGGATATTTTCTTTAGCCAACTAAGGAGGGAAATTGGGGGGGGGGGGAGAGCAGAAAATGGAGGAGAAATGGGAAAAGGGGAAAAAAAAATTGGGCCAAATAAGAAGAAAAAAAGAAGATAACAGGAGTGTAAAAAGGTAATAAAAAAAAAGAGTTTAATTCTTACTTGTAGCCTTATCTCCTCTAGTAATCTTTTAATCTCCTGCCTTTCTTTTCTTTCCTTTCTTAAGGTCTCAATTTCATTCTTCTGTTCAGTGATTATTTGTCTCAAAAAATTTTCTTCCTTTTCGTTTTCTTTCTGCTTTTTAATCAGGATGATTATTAATTCTCTATCTGGTAGGCCAAGAAGTTCTTCCATGTCACTGTTGAGCTCTGGTGACTGTCTTTCTTTTTGTGGTGTGTCCTCCTGTGGGCTTGCTTGGTTATTCATATTTTTTCTTCTCCCTGTTGTTTGCTTTCTAATTAGTACTATGCGTTGAGACATCGTGCCACGGTGTTGGCGGGTGTCTCTTTGGAGTGCTCCTTTAGGGGTGTCGGAAACTGCTTACCAGACTGAGACCAGCACTGGTAGGCCAAAACTCCACCAGGGTGTTGATGCTGTGTTGCTGGGCATTGTCCCTTACAGTTCCCTCCCTCTGTATTTACTCAGTTTCAACAGGGAATCAGCTAATTGGTGATTTTGTTCTGGTCACGAGGTGGCACCAGAGACCTGTACTTGCTGACCTGTGCTTTTCCCAGTGGTTCTCTGAGAAACAGAGGTGAGGCGGAGGGGAGCACCTCAACACAGGGGCTCTTATTCAAGCTGGGTGCTGTGTCTGCCCCGTGTTCACCCAGTGGTGTGCCCGCAGCTATATGGATTCTGCACCCTGAATTCTGCACTCTGGGTCTCAGTTCCAGGGCTATCAGATCCAAAATGCTGAACGTCGCCCTGTGCAATGCCGGCTGCTATGGCGCATCCCATGCCCCGGATCTTGCGCCTGGCTCTCAGTTACAGAATGGGGTCTTGCCCCACGCCTTATTTCCCTCCTTAACCCAGTTTGTGTGGCCCACCCTCTCTCAGAGCCTGAGGGTGTTTTTGGGATCTCCGGTTTCCAACTATCAGGATGTTGTTTTTTTTCTGGTCACTAGGTGGTGCCAGAGATCTTTCCTAGTGTCCTTCCAAAACTTTTTTTCCGATGGGCCTGGGGAACAGGGTGGGAGTGGCGTGGAGCGCCTCAACGGCGTGGGGGTGCTGTGTCTGCCCGGTGCCCCACCATCATCAGGATCCCACGCCCTGAATTTCGTGCCCAGGGTCTCAGTTCCGAAGCCCTCAGATCCAGGACGCAGGCTGTAGCCCAGTTCAGTGTTTGCAGAAATGGCGCCTTTTGCACCCACTCCCATGTCCGGGCACCTGGTTTCTGATTACTCAGTGAGGGACATTCATCTCAATGAGGGCTCCTGCATGTCTCTCCGCAAACCTAGGTCACAGGTGTGGGGACCTGGGCAGCCGTGACCCGTGTATGTTTTTCGAGCACGCCACTCTTCCACACAAGCTTACCAGCTGGCCTTGGGCTATTTGTAGGTCTCAGCAGAGTCCTTATATTCCTCTAATGGCGTCTGAAGCCATTCGCTCACCTCCGTGGCGATTCCCGCTCAGTTCTCCACAGTTCTTGTTCACGGGATGTGGTGCCTGAAATAGTTCCTTTCTACTCACTGTCCCACTTGATCTGTAGTTTGTTCTTGTTGGTTTGTTTTTTTTTTTTCCTTTCCCTTTTCCTGTTGATCAGAGAGTGCCGACTTTGTGGGTGGGGGAGGGTAGCAGGGTTCTGATCTTTCCTCTTTTCTCCATCCTCTTTTATGGCAACTTTCCTTTTCAGGCAGTTTGCCAGAGTCGTCCATTTATCTTTCATGTCCCAGTTCTCGCAGGGACCTGCCACTTTCCCTCCCTATTAACTCTTTTTTTACGGGAGGACTTACTCACAGTGTTTCCCTGTCGCCATGTTGATCTCTCTCTGCCTTATATGTAGCCTTAGAACTCAGGGACTCTGGGAGAACTTGGACCCTATTTCAGGGCTCCCATCCCCACACCCAAAAGACTATAGGAAATTCCTTGATCTGATCCTTGGATACCTCAAATGAGAGCTTCCGGTCATCCAGGAGGTCCCAAGAACAGCTTTAATTCCTAACCCTGTTTCAACTCAATTCCACAAATTTTAATCATTACCTTTCAGTATCAGACACTGAGTTAAGGTTAGGGGTACTGAGATAGTCAGGAAAGCCTATATCTTGGGAAACTTTGATTTGACCTCAAAGACAGAGCCGTATAAGTCATGCTTATCCACACACTAAGCACAATGATCAAGGTCAGAGCTAGAGGCAATTTTCATTCCATGTCATCGAAGACTGTAGAAATACCCTGAAGAACTTGAAATTAAAAAAAAAAAAAAAAAAAAAAAATGACCCTGAAGCCCAGTTGTTAGGGCACAAGCTACAAATGTTTCAGTTAGGAGCCTGAACTAATGAAAAATTTGGGGTTCTGATGAGTAAGTAAGGTAGAACAAGGCCCCATTCAAGCCATCAATAACTCTCAATGAGGCTTTAAATTACTGTCAGGCCAATATATGTCACTAAATGGATCACTACCAGTCCTGATAGTTTGGCCAAGGCTCAGTGTAGGATACCCAAAGGCTACAGCCTATACCTGCATAAGAATCTCAACTTACCAGATCACTGACAAGTGGCAGTGGCTTCTTTCTGCGTAGATCTGGCATGCTGTCGATGCCATAGAGACCTCCAGCTGGCCTGAGAGAAGAAAATATATCAAGACCTTCAGTCCTGCTTGAATTGAGAGCAGTTTCAGTATTCCATTCTCCATTATTTTTGCTCTCCCTCTCCCCAAAGGAAGATAAATTGGCCTTTATCATGTCCTTGAGAAGGGTAAGGAAGGCAAAAAGTAAGAAAAATAATGCAATGGGATGATGAGCATAGAATCCACTCTAAGACTCTTCTATGGTTTTTAGTCAAGGCCTAAGAGCTCTATTATCCCATGGTGACAGTTGAAGGCACTTCAGTTTATTTGATGAATCTTGTGCTCCACAAGGCAAGGTGGGCTAGGTAGTTAAGGGGATCCTCCCCACACTCAGGCCAAAGGCACTGTTCCCCAAAGATAAGTATTTTACAATCACTAGCAAACAAGGTAAAGTTCTATAAAGGACTGCTCTAGAAACAATTGGTGCCACAATTTTGTAACTAATTCTAAAGACTACAATATGTACTACTTAAGTCAAGAAGTTTTTGTGCCATAAATAAACTTTTGACAAAAGAATAAAGGGTAGTTCATTTATGTGATTAAGTCCTGATTTTAAAAAGACAATTCACAAGGAACAGAAGATATAAAAATGTAGTAGTTAACTTGATGATCAGATCATTTGTCTTTCCTGGACACAAGGGAGAGGAGGCAGTCACTGAGAGTTCTGAAGTCAGAAGCCTTTTGGAGAACAAGGAAAGAAGAAAGATCCTCAGAAATAATTGGCAGTATATGTGGGGGGATTGAGGGGGAAGAACAAACTCTTTTCTTTCTTAAGAACAGTCAGTCAGTCACAGGCAGCAGATGAGCAACAGAAAATGACTCTCTGGTACAATCACATGGGTCTGAAACTCCCAGACAAGAAGCACAGACAGAACACACAGCTCATAAGGGATGTTACTTATGTCTTAACTCGAGTGGAATGGAATAAGTAGGTGACTCACAACAGCTAAAGCAGGATGGAGTCCAGGGAGTAATGGAATGAGCCACACCATCAACAATGGAATGGAAAGAAACTGTCCCCAAATACAGATATTTTTCCAGTTTCCTCATTCTTCCACCTAAAGGGTACATCATCACTATGATGTAAGGTATCAGAAATTCTAGAGGCAAGGATAGAGGAATCCCAAAGCTCTCTCCCAAGCTCCAGGGGAACCGCTTGCAAAATTCTCCCTTATGCCTCTGAGAAATCAGTCTGCATAGTTCTCTCCTCTGCCCCAGAGAGCCAAACAAACTACAGTGAAGTAGTGTGAAGTAGAGTGAAACCTCTTCTTTCCCCAGGATCCAGCTTACAAAGCTGTCTTCCTGATCCCAGGGGAAAAGTGAAAATGTACAAAATCTGCAGAAAACTTGCAGGGTATCACTTACCCTTCTGGGAGCCACTGAGACAGAGTGGGGTCACCATCATCTGGAAGCTTCAAAAAGAGATAGAAAAAAGTTAGACCCTGGGAAAGAGAGGAGATTGCCTGTAAATCAGGTGGTGAGCAATAAAGGAGACACTCAGAGCAGTATAGGAACATTTCCCATGTGGTGGCATAGCCAACTTATGTCACAGACAATACCCTGACCAGCCAGAGCAACAACAGGATACTGAAATAAGCAGCACCCCCTCTCCTTTTCCCACTGACTAGGAATGATATAAGGCCAAGCTCATCGAGAACCAAGGGTTTAGGCCTTCTTGGAGTATGAGAACTGCCATAACTCATATTCCCCCTCACAAGACCCATTAGTACACTGAACTGCAATCCAAAGCCAGGAGGAAGAACCACTTATCTCATCTTGTGACTTGACTTTGCTTGGGTTCCTTCAATCCCTGACTCAATGGTACTAGATACACTTTACATTCGAGAAGCTCTCAAATATATATATACATATATTTGTTTTTTGTATACTATATATATATAGTATACAAAAAACAAGAGAATCAATGGCTAATTAAACATTTAGATTATCATTCTGGTGAATTTCATGAATCCTACAATGCGAAGTTGAAAATTGTGGCACCAAATAATTCGAGGGAACAATTTGAAAACACTTTTTAAAGATTTGTTTTTTCATATATATATACACACAAAATGACCAAAGTAAATCCTTAATCAGTGTGCAGAGAAAGTTCCAAAGTTACCAGGGCTCTCCTGAGAGCCAATGGTGCAATACTATTTAAGCTCAAGAGAATTAGTGCAAGCAGGTTTGGAGCTTCCTGCCCCAATTTGTTCCCCACCACCCACAACAACTTCTCTGCTTCCTGAGATCTGGGTTCCAGCTAATTATCCCAAAGCAAATGGGAGACAGAGTTGTTTAGCTTTGGACAAAGTGTGGAGTTTGGGGAGAGCTAAAGGTGGGAGAAGTTATAAACAGAATGAGGCAAGACAACAGAAAAGGAAGAGATAGGACAAGCCAATGGTGATGGTAGTTAAAAAAAAAAAAAGTGGGCCTCCCGGGTGGCACAGCGGTTGAGTGCTGGGTTGTGAAGCTGCCCGCAGCCTCTGCAGCACCGGTTCGATCCCCAGCCACCAGGCAAGGGTCCCTCCCATATGGCGTGCAGACCTCTCCTGCCGCCCACTGCTCCCCTCAGCAGTGTACTTCGTCAATCTGCCTGTTCTGATCTCTGCTCTGGCTCTGGTGAATTCTCTCACCCTCCCGCACCTCTGACTGTACCCAGTGCTTGTATAAATAAATAAACAAATCTTAAAAAAAAAAAAAAAAGTAGAAATTACTGTGGGTCAGCAGTAGGCTCAAGATAAACTTTGCATTTAAGGCCCTTCTCAGTAAGACTTTAGGTTTCTGTGTTTTTCTCAAAGCTATCTACCTGCTGCCCACAGCCCTTCCTGATCCCATTTCACTTCATCTGCCTCCTGCCGTGGTTCTCTGGGTGGGATGATACTGGTAAAGGGAGCCAAGGGTGGCAGAATGAAATCTAAGGTTGCTTGTGATGGGTAGCCCATCCCTATATTCCCAGATCCCACTATTTAGAACTCATCTTCCTCTTGGGAACAGTCATATACCGAACAAATTTTAATTTCCTTCCCAGAATGAAATACTTGCCAGAAACCACTGGGTTTAAGGAAACAAAGTCACAAGACATCTTTGGGAGCCAGGGTTCCTAGGTTCAGGTCATACACATTTTCTGTTCTTAGAGAGGACAATGGGTCTGCAGAAATCTGCAGACACAGAGCATGCACACGAAGGTCACTGAAGGAAGGCCAGAGGAGTGAGAGGAGGGCTAGACAAAGTACCTACAAGAAGTAGATACATCCATACACAGCACATACAACTTGTGCCTGAGAGAAACACAAGGTAAGCATGGATCCTGCACATAGATCTATAGATCATGTGTACACACCCATTTGGGGAGGATTCAGTTTTCACTAGAGCCTGAATCAAAGGCAAAGAAAAGCTGCAGTGACTTCAAGAACCAGTGCTTGCAGGCACAGAGCACTGGTAGACTATGCATTCACATGGCATGGGGGAACCGCATCACAGGTCTATAGGAGCCTGTACTCACAGAAAGGCCAGGAAGCCTGCTCAGGAGCACCAAGTACATTTACACTTAGGGCCCCAGGCAAGAGGCACAAAATGCCTACAGCAATTCCTGCTCTCAAATACAAAGTGTGCATGCATGCTGGGCTCAGCGAGGGTTTACAGCATATGCCAGTCTGCAGCAACAAGTAGAAAATGGACACACACTGTGCAAAGTAGAAGAGGAGAGCAATCAGTGTCCAGGGAAGTCAAACTGAATACAACTATAAGCATACATGCTACATTAAATGTGCACTATGCCAGCACAGATAGTCTCACACTGTGCTCCAGGGATTTCTGCAGGAGCACATACAAGCATGGAGCATGCATACAAATTGCTTTCAGAAAAACAGACTATCTGTATGAGCCAAAGCTCAGAGGCACAGATCATGCACACACATACACACATGCGCGCGCGCACACACACACACACACACACACACCGTGCTAAGGAGGAAGGGTGGAGAATAGACAACAAAAAGGGCCCAAAAGGCCAGAAGCACAACCTGAAGGGTTCCTCGCTTTCCTTCTGCAAGGAGAGAAAGAGCAGGGAGGGGGGGAAAAAGGCAGAGAGATTAGTAGACTGAGTCCTAGAGCAGGAAACCCAAAGAAAATGCAACTAAACTTTAAGAGACAAGGAAGCAAGGGAGATGTCCTCTGAACAACTGGCAGTTTACAGAGCCCAACTCCCATAATCCTTACCTCCTTCATTTGCTGGCCTGTGTTTTTAATCTGGAACATCCCAGAAACTACTCAAACTAAAGGACAAATCTATGTGGGGATTCCAGTTGTCCTTTTCCCCTTTGCAAAGTGGCCGCATGCAGAGTCAGGGTCATAAGAGCAAGTTTGTTACCAAGGGCCACTCCAACAGGCTAGCCAAATTGACTAAGCACAGCGTTCCTTTTCCAGAAACTGCAGGGGGTTACTATAGATCTGGGATAACTCTTCAAACTGCAAATATTGGTGGTTAGGTCTTCTCCATTTTGTACCGCAAGCTTGGCCATGTTGTTTGCCCAGTTAGTCCTAGTCTGTTTTCCCAGAGTTTAAATTACATTAACTGGATTAAGGCTTGAAGTTAAGACCAGGGCCAGGAAGCTCAATGGCTATAGACAATGGGGCATAAACAGGCCACTGCCCTAACTGAAGTCACCATGATCTAGACAATAAAATTACAACTACAGTTCCAGGCCTGATTACCTATCAAATTCAGGAAACACTGCAAAGCAAGCCACAGTAGAGAAAGAATATAGTCCAGATTTACCTTTTCTATTCTTCAGAGTCTACATTGCCTTCTACACCACACATGGACAGGTGCACAGCTTTCCTTCTCTAAGGAAACACCAACCATTTGGACTCAGTAGCTCCCCTCCACTTTCTTTTCTCTCCACTTTAAATATCCAATGATATTACACAAGTAGAAGAAAGAATCACAGAAACTAATTCATAAGTTCCCATTTTTTCACACTATTTCTGATGACCTAATGGGTCATCTGACCTGAACTACAAAAGAGAACTCTTTCCCAAAAGTGCAGCTATAGGAAAGTAGATGAGGTAAAAAAGATACTTCCTGGAATGACATGTCTCTTCCACATCTACACTTCACTTCCCCCAGAACACAGTTCCCTTAGAAAAAAAATTGGACAAGGGATACTTTAATCGATCCTGTGACTGAAACTGAAAAATATTTTTCTCCTTCTCTACTATAATAAATACACTGTACACATCATATCAAAGTTACTTCAATCTTGTACTTCTAGTCTTCCCAGAGGGCTCCATAATGGCTAAAGTATAAAATCCAATTTGTTGACAATCCATCAAGGCGCTCCATGATATGGCCTCTTGCATCTACTGGGTAGGCTCGGTCTTATTCTTAAGACTTAGATCAAACATTAAAGCCTTTGTAAAAATTTCATTATCTGCCTTCCTCTCAAAAGCAGAATTAGGTGCTTTTTTACCATGTGCTCATGGCACCCACATTTCTATGTTGGTATGTTGCTTCTGCTGTTTCACTGTAACTGTACACTGTGAACTTCTTGAAATCATATGTTTTTTACCTGTCCAGCTGAAGGTTTAAGCATATTTCCTAGCATTTGTATGTAGTAAAAGGAAGCTGCAACTTTCAGGACTTAGAAAACAATGATTTTTCTAAGAAAATGTCTCTCCTCCATCACTCAGTAACACCATTTTCCAGACCCCACAGAACTGCTGTACTAGTTCTTCAATTTGTTCCATGCACTGGGCAACATAAAAACGCCTTTACTAGTTAAGAATCACTTTTTGTGCTTCCAAGTTTCCTAAAACACCTCAGAATTTTCCCACTCAGATTTAGTTTTTCAGTTTATATGTCTACAGAACATCTGCTTTGCAGAAAAATTTCTGACCCCTAAGAATGACCTCATTCTTTCAGATTGCCCTACAGAGAAGTGACATAGCGCCTCACTGTTAAAACAATCTTAACTCCCTTGTACCTAGGAATAAAAAGATTTAAGGCACTCAGCTTATTCGAGCGTGCATTTCCTTATCTGTAATAAGCAGGTCATTATAAAGATTCATTTTCAACACTTACTGAGAATCTACTATATACTTGGCACTGCTCATGTTGCAGCAGTGATGAAATAAACTCCTTGACCTTAAGAAGCTTCTATTCTAGTAGAAGAAGCAGACAATTAATAATCATGAAGATTATGCTAGTAGGTAACACTAAGTGAACACATTATATCTAGCATGCTATTTGAGTAAGCTCATTTATTTCTCACAACTCTAAGTAAACAAAATTATTATCTCCACTTTTTTGTTGATTAACCTGAAAATCGGTGAGGTTGGAAAACCTGCCTGAAGTCACAGCAAGTGGCAAAGCCAAAATTCAAAATAAGCATTCTGGTTCTATAATCTGTAG